ACACCACACATGCAGTATGGCATGCATGTGAGCACATACACCACACACACACACACACACACACACACACACACACACGAAATGCTTTAAAGAACAGCATTTCAGAGACTATTTCATTGTATGATGCTGATTTAAAAAAAACAAAACAAAACACTGAAATAAAGAAAAACAGAAAGAGAGAGGGAAGGGAAAGAGGGGCTGGAGAATTAGCCTGGTGGTTAAGAGAACTGGCTGCTGTTCCAAAGGACCAGAGTTCAATTCCCAGCACCCACATGGTGGCTCAGTAAAGTTTCTAACTCCAGTTCCAGAAGATCCAATGCCCTCTTCTGTCTCCACAGGCACTGCATTCATATGGTACATAGACATACATGCAGGCTAAATACCCACACACTTAAAACACCCAAACCCACATACCCACAAACCCACGAATAAACTAGAACCTAACTTTTGCTTTCCCCTCACAGTCACACCTTCAATTCTTAGAACAGGGCCCGACATGTGATACTCAATCAACACGTGTTAAGTGAGTAAGAAAATGACAGAAAAAATAGGGAAATACAGGAAACACCACACGTGGGACTCATGATAACTTAGACTTACTGTGACCTTTATCCCAAGGGGTGGTTAGGGGGTGGGGGAAATCAATCACATTTGAGTCATACTAAATAGTAGAATCCAGCTATCCAAGAAATGTTCAATTAATAAGTAATCTTTCTTTAAACCAAAGACAATAAATTAACTTATTCAGATATATAAAATATAAAAGCAAATAACTGTCACAAAATAAGCATTTATTCATTTCTTCCTAAATGCATATCTAGAAAACATCTGTAGTTTATATCATAAACTTTGCATTCAGGTTAGAACTGATCTACTAAATACTAGTATTATTATCTTATTGCCATGAAATTCACAGTCAAATCTCAGATATTAAAATAAATCTACCAGAGCTGGGCACGGTGGCTCAGCCCTTTAGATTAAAAAAACTAATAAATAAATTAATAACCAAAAAAAAACAAAAACAAAAATAAAAAAACAACTACTAGTATACATGGGCTTTTATAAAAACTTCATTTGAAGACCTAATCAGCATGTTTAAATTATGTGCCTTTGTTATATTTTATTGTTGAGACAAGATCTCACTGTGTAACCCTGGCTAGCCTAGAACTGGCTACATAGACAAGGCTAACCTGGAATTACTGCGCTCCCTTCACTTGCTGGCATCTGCCTCTACTTCCTGAGTGCTAGAACTAAAGATGCAAGCCCAGCCTCAGGATGCTCTGGCTGTAGACAGGCCCCTCCCTCTGCTTAGTTAGCTGCAAACACTCAGGAACCATCTTAGATCTAAGCTCTTATCAGTAAATCTTGCCTGATATAAAATCCCTTTTTCCTTTGCCTTTTGTCTCCATCTTCCAAAACCAAGAGTTTGATATAAACAAATAAAAATAATCGAGCCTCTCAAGAGGCAAAGGTAGGTGGATCTCAGGATCTCAGCCTGGTTTACAGAATGAGTTCTAGGACAGCCAGGGCTAAAGAGAGAAGCCCTGTCTTGGAAAGCCCCCCAAAGGAGGTGGGAAAAGAGAAAAGGAAACAAGATTCTTGGTGTCAAATCTTTAAAGATATTTCCTTACTAACAATGCCTACTTATCAAATATTTATTCACTGTATTTCCAAGCACCTTACCAATGATAGGAAATATTCATATTTGAAAATAAAATCATAAATATTTCCAACTTCCAGTAAACATGGAAGACTACAAAACTACACAGAACATTTGGACTTACATTCTGTCCCTCTGGCTCTAACTTGGGGACCTTGTGTGACTTGCGCTCTTCAGATCTAGATGACTCGTGTTTGTTGCTTTTTTTCCTCTTTTCCTTTCTGCTTTCATGCTTTGACTTTGTGTGCTCACTTGCCTGTACTTCATTTAAAAGGTCTCCACAAAGGGAAGACTCAAACAATTCCCTGCCATTCTGGATAGTTTTGGTTATTTTTAGTTTAATCTCAGGTGAGCCTGTCTTCTTTGGAATCACAGTTTGTGGTACCGAAGGAGGAGGAGGAGGTGGCTGTGGAGGAGAAGGTTTTTCCAGAATTTCATGTGGTCTTGTGTTTGGAATTTCTGAATGGTAATAGTCAGTAGGGCTAAAGTTTCTAACTGCACCAAAACCGTTGGCTGACCCATTGGGATACTGATTATATGGCGGGTATTTGGTTTGAGTTTCATACAAGCTGATTGATGGTGGGTAGCCATTTGTGAGTGGAGGAAGGTCTTCTGTTGTAGGTGGATATTGAAAACCTTGTTGCAAAGTAGCTTCGAAGGGTGTTGGGCCACCATCTTCAACGATGTCACTGTTGTTATCAAAGGCATCCTCCTGGCGGATGTTGGCTGAGTCAATGAGTTGAGGTGGTTGCTGAATTGTGTTTCCCATGATCCCTTGCATGAAAGAGAAAGAGAAATCCATTGTTCTGCTCCAGCATCCTTAACTTTCCCTTTCTCTCATCGAGCCTAAAATTGAAGAGAATTAAAAAGTATTAAAATTCTAATAGGCAAGAAACCAACCGAGGATTATACAAGCACTTTATACCTAATTTTCACCATCAGATATGCTGACATTAAACCTACATAATTCTGACATAAAGCAAATCAGGTCAGCTATGGAGCATAGGCTGTCCTTAAACTGGGGAGCCTCCTGACTTATCCTTCCAGGTACTGAGATTACAGAAACACACCATCACACCCAGGAAAAGTCCTGCTTACTTCCATAACAACTTTAGCATGTATAAGTAATTTTCATACATGTAGACTTTATTCCTCTTCTTCTTCCGCTTCCTCCTCCTCTTCTTTTTTTTTTAAAGACAGGGTTTCTCTGTGTAGCCATGGCTGTCCTGGAACTCACTTTGAGGATCAGGCTGGCCTTGAACTCACAGAGATCTGTCTGCCTCTTTAGTGCTGGGATTAAAGGTGTGCACCACCCCATGGCATTATACTATATTCTTTAACTGGTTATACAGTAAACTGTAGTATCACTTTAACAAAGTCAACCATGTGTATACTATAAATCAATTAGCTGCTTACAAGTTCTTAGTATACAAACATGTCTACAGAAAAAACTTTTTGAGACAGGGTGCTACTATGTGGCCTAAAGTATCCTCACATTCATGATTCTCCTATTTCTGCCCCTGAGTACTGGGATTACAGGCATGTACTATACATATACAGCTCATGAAGAATGTTCCTTCAGCAGGGTACACTATCAGATGCCTGCTATTGCATGATTAGGTGGTGGAGACAGAAGAATCCTGAGTTGGAGGTCAAAGTGAGTAATATATAAGGAGATCCTGTCTCAAAGAGAGAAAAAAATCAAACTATAAATCTGTGCATGTATGTATTCATATAGGGCAGATTTTAAAACTTTTTATCTAGCTGCAAAACTGTTCTAGTGGCTGTACTATATCAATTTATATAATCATATTATTAATGTGTAACGCTGTCTAATTATCTATACTCTTGGCCATATCTAGTTGTTTTTAAAGTGGCATATATAGCGGAATCACTTTTAAATGTACATGCTAGTATATTAGTCTTGAGGATTGCAGTTTAATAAGTTTGTGTGTAAGGGATTAAAGCATGAGTATCTTAAGACCACAGCCCAGTTAATTTTGATGCAAGTCCTTTGCTAGATGACTGCAGTTCATCCCTGTATTTATTATACAATTGTACAATGTACTACAAAGTATTTGAACATGCCAACACTAGGTAACAATGTTTAATGTAGACACACATCTGCAATAAGATCACCCTGTCTTGTCAGAACAAGATAAAACATTAATGAATAGTTCATATACTATTTTTACATTTTCATCTATAGAAAAACAGGTTTTATATTAGCTCTGATGAGCTGATTTTAGATGTTTGGAATATTGTGAAGGCTTTTGAGGCATACAGACTAGTTCAGTTCTATGATTAACAGTGTTCACTATCTTGGCTTAAGCAGTATCTAGTACTTACCAAACTCAACACTGCAAATCAGAGAGGAAAAAAAAAATCTAACAGTATACTGTTTGAGCCATATCCATCCACTCACACAGCTGTTGTTCGCTCTACTGTGAGCAAACAAATAACTTGAGACATTTTAAAATTGCTAACAAATTAATAAGAAGGCAAATGTTACCCGTTATGGTGACACACACCTTTAACCTCAGTACTTGGGGAAGCAGAAGCAGGCAGATCTCTGTGAGTTCAAGGCCAGCCTGATCTACACAGTGAGTTCCAGGCCAACCAGAGCTATGAAAGAACATCTAAAAATTAAAATTTAAAAACAAAACCAAAAGCCGTATAGAACAACAAAATCTAATTCCCAGAACTGCTCTCCACCGACACACGGGGGCGGTGTGGGGGAAAAATGAACAGCGGCCTCACTCTCTTAACAGCACCTCTGGGCCAGGTGTTTATGCATCAGTTCATCTATCCTTCCTTACAACTTGCTGGAAGTTAGGTCGGGGGGGGGGGGGGGGTGTTTAAGTGGCCTGCCGAAGCCACAAAGCAGGGCAGCTCTAGACGGAAAGGCAGGCTCATGGGCCTCCTCCAAGCTGTCAGTTTCTAGAGGATTCCTTCTTTTTGTTCAAGTGCTTTATGCCTGGACAACTGCCAAATTAACAACCATTCTAATGACTAACTCTAATGTTTATAAAGAGTTCAACATGACATCTTCTCACTAGCCTTTCCCAATATTATCGCTTATAACAGATGGAGAAGTAGAGGCAGCAAGGATCAAGACAAGTAAACACAACTCTGTCAACTGACAGTTGAGCTCCAGAATTTGTACACCCCAGCTAGCATACACCATTCACTGACCTGCTGAGGAGTGTAACAAATAATATCTTAGGATACAGAGCAAGACAGAAAGATTTCTGAAATTTGGTCCTTGACAATAACATAGCTCACAGCCACAGACGTAAGAGGACTCTCCTAGCTAGCCACAGTGTTACCCTGCACACACCCAGAGTTATCTGAGTCTCACTGGGGACGGCTCAATCAGACTGGCCTGTGGGCATGTCTGTGGGCATTTTCTCGATTGGCAGCTGATACAGCAGGCCCAGCCCACTCTGGGCAGTACTATCCTGAGCTGGTCCTGTGCTATTTAAGGAAGCTGGCTGCGCAGAAATGAGGAGCACACCAATAAGCACCATTCCTCCATGGTTCCTGCCTCTATGTTCCTGCTCAACTTTCCTTAAAGATGGATGAAACAAACCCTCCTCTCCCATGCCAAGTTAGTCATCACAGTAACAAAAAAACAATCTATAAAAGGGTGACTTCTAATTCTGTTACCACATGTAGAGCACCACACAGATAAAAATAAAAGCTCTTCATGGATACTTCTGCCTAAAGGCATGTTAGATAGTCACATCCAATAAGATGCAAGTTGCATTTTTAGCTATGATCACTGTCATGATACAAACTTCCAAATGAGTCTCCCAAATCAGTCTATCAAGTTTTCAGATACATGTATTCAGACTCAAGTTTCTATGTTTTTCATTTGTCAAAAGCTAAGAATTTTGACACTTTTCTTATTTTCCCATCTCTAGCCCTAACTACAAATAATTTTGTTTTAGTTTGAACTGAGAAGTGCCATAATTACCTTATAGTTCCATGGGGAATTGCAGTGACAAGAGTATTTGTATATGTACTGAAGGTGAGTGGGATTACATCCGGGGCCTTGTGCACACTAAACACTCACTTCCTAGTACTGTAAGCATTCAATTCCTAGTACTGTAAGCATTTTTTAAAACTGTGTGTGCGTGCACCATGTATGCATACATGTGATTCAAGTGGCCATGGAGGGATCCAGGTACCATGGAACCGAAACTGCAGGGTCTGTGAGCTAGCCCATGGGTCCTCCACAAGAGCAGTAAGTGCTCTAACCTCACAGTCACCTCCCCAGCCCATGATATGCAACCTTATTGATGTGCAAACAACTCTGGAAGGCTGCCAAGACAGATGTGCATTAGCTTCACTTGTTAGCTAACTACACAGGATACCTGACAAGTAGATTTTCCCAGGGCCACAAGCTAATCGGCACTGGCTTGAAGTTTAAATTTTCTGATTTCTACTCTTGTATTCTTAGTGTCCTTGCCATAGAGAGGCTGGTGACACGATGACAACCATACTTCAACCTCAGGAGTCACACCCTCAGGACTGAAGCAGGCCTTTCCCAACTCACCTTGCTTCTTCATCGTCTTTGTCAGGGCTCCACCCTTTTCATAGCTTTCAAATTACAAAGCACAGACTCATTTTCTCTCAAGTCATAAAACTAGTTTGAACAAAGCCTACAGTTTCTTCTTTTTTTTTGTTACATTTTGTTTTTTAAGACAGGATCTCCCTATTTGCCCTGGCTAGCCTGGAACTTGCTATACAGCCTCAAACTCAGAGATCCACCTGCCTCTGCCTCTCGAGTGCTAAAATTAAAGGAGCATCACCACATCTGGCAGTTTCTTCTTTTAAAATCTGATGTATTCTTTGATTTCTATACTAATTTCAAAACCCAAACCAGCACTCAGCACCTTATCCTACATTATAATTGATCTTCTAGATACTTCTTTTGTTTTGTTTTGAATGTAACCCAGGTCTACTTGGACTTAATTCATGCCAATCTTCCTGTCTCAGTCTTCCAAATGCTGAGACAAAGGGCAACAGCCACCACATCTTGCTATCGAGATATGTCTTGCATCTAATGTCTTTCTTCACAGCAGTTAGAAAATAGTTCTTGGGCTGGAGAGATGGCTCAGTAGTTAAGAACACTGTCTGTTCTTTCAGAGGTCCTGAGTTCAAATCCCAGCTACCACATGGTGGCTCACAATCATCTGTAATGGAATCTGATGCCCTCTTCTGGTTATGTCTGAAGACACAGTGTGCTTATATAAATAAAATTAAAATAAATATTTAAAAAAAAAAAGGAAAGAAAATAGTTCTTGAAATCAGATTTCTATAAATCTAATTGCAAAATTAGCAACAGTACAGCTTCATAATATAACAAATCTCCTCGAGGCCTTCCCTAGGTTTCTGTGAACTTTTCCTCTCAATCTAAACCGCATGTGCATGAACCAGTTTTTCTGAGCATCCACAGAGCCAGATAGCTTTAAACTGTGGACTCACTACTGTGTTACACTTACTTAACTCGACATGGGATTTGCTCTTAGTGCAGCTAACAGGAGCCGGACGAAAAGGCAAGTTCAGCTCTTCTCACAAGGCACCTTCCTGAACGTGCCTTCAACCTTCCTACTGCAGAGACTTCTCACTTCCCCAGATACTCCACCTGGAATCTAAACGCCCAAATCTGACACTCAGTTTTTAGTCTATCTGAATGTGTCCTTCCAAGGAAACCACACATGTTAGCTGTCCAAGCAAGAAGCCTGAGGACAGATGTACCTCCGATTGTCTGTGTTGTCCAATCTCCCCGATGCTCTCCCAGCTTTCCTAGTCCACGCTGTCATTATGGTTCCTGTGAA